TTTTTTTTTTTTTTTTTTTCCTACAGTAGAGATGGAGTGGATTAGGTCTGGGTAGATTTCAGCAGTGTCTGTGTCCCTCTCCTCCAGCCAGCACCATGGAGGAAGCTTTCTCCAGATCCAACCTGATCTTCTCTGCAAGAATCTTGTGGGCTTTCTAGAGAAAAACTTGATCGTGGAGAATACACTATATTTGTGGTTCCCAAGTGTGCACTCTCTCCCACTGGTCTTTACTCAGCTCTTGTTATTTTATTTAAAATTTCTTGTTTAATCTTCTGACCAGCTTCATTGGTGTTTGGCAGCATTTGTCTGAGGTAAGTGAATACTCAGCTCCTCTTTCTCCCTACAAGTGCCCATCTGTCTCCAGATTTTGAGTAAGTCACTTGCCCTGCAACTGAGTTCTTCAAAGGTTTAAGCAAAGTCATTAATTTTCAATATGTCCCTTTTTTTATGTTGTTGTAAGAGGGGAGCAATGTCATTTCCCCCCTCTACATCTCTGAGCACATGCTGATGCTCTTTCCCATTTTTTAATTGCATTGTTTTTTTAATTGATTTTTGAAAGTTCTTTATATATTTTGGACACCATTTTTTAAATATGTTTTGAGAATATTTTCTCCTAATCTGTGGCTTCTCTTTCCATTTTCTTATCAGTCTTAAAAAGAGCAGAAATGTTAATTTTGATGAAAGTGCAATTTGTCAAATGTTTCTTGTTTTTTTTTGTCCTAAGAAATCTTTGCCTAACTCAGGTCACAATGAGTTTCACTTGTGTTTTCATCTAGAAATTTTATTGTTTTTGGTTTTACACTTAGTTCTGTAATCCATTTTGAGTTAATTTTTGTTTATGGTGTTTGGTATGGATTGAGGGTTTTTTTCTGTGGGTTTTGTGTTTTTTTTTTCCCACATAGATCAACAATTGTTCCAATACTATTAGTTGAAAAGTTTATCCTTTGTTCATTTTTGTATTTTGCTGGCACTTTTGTTAAAAACCAGTTAGCCACTTAAGTGCACACCTATTTCTGGATTCTCTTTTCTGATGCTCTTATCTATGTATGTCCTTTCACCCATACCCCATTGTCTTGATCATTGTAGCTTAATAGTATGACTGAGATTTTATCTTTTTAAAACTGTTTTGGCTATTCTATGTCCTTTGCCTTCCCATATATATTTTACAACCAGCTTCTTGATTTCTACAAAAGGTCTTCCTAAGATTTTGAATGGGATTACATTAAAGCTATTTATCAAATTGGGGGAAGTCTGACAGCTTAAATATATTGAGTCTTCCAAGCCATGAGCATGGGCCGTCTCTCCATTTATTTAGTTGTTCTTCAACTTCTGTCATCAAAGTTTTGCAGGTTTCAGCATATAAATCCTTTACATTTTTGGTTAAATCTATCTCTAAATATTATATAGGTTGATGTTGCTCTTGTAAATAGTACTATTTTTGACATTTTAATTTCCAGTTATTAATTGTCAATACAGTTGACCCTTGAAGAACACAGATTTGAACTGCATGGGTCCACTTATATGTGGATTTTCCCCCCCACTAAATACGGTTGGCCCTCTATGAGTTTTGCATCTGTAGATTCAACCAATGGCTAATCAAAAAAGCATTTTCAACCTGTGGTTGGGATTTCACAGATGCAGAGGGCTGACTGTGTGCACTGCTCTATGCCATTTCAAATAAGGAACTTGAGCATCTGCAGATTTTGGTATTTGCAGGGGGTTCTGAAACCAATGCCCCATGGATACTGAGGGCTGACTGTAGTTTAGTTTATGGGGAGTCAAAAGTTATTCACAGATTTTTGACTGTGTAGGGGGTCAATGCTCCTAACTCCCAAGTTGTTCAAGGTTAACTGTATGTAGAATTATAACGAATTTGCATCTATCATTCTATTTTATAGCTGTGTATACTTCATCATGCATGTGCCATCATTTTTTCAACCAATCTCTTATATTTGTATATTTATGTAATTTCCAATATTTTGCAGTTACAAAAAGACTAACTTTATACATATGTATATTAATACTGTTGAGAATTGTGTCTTCAGGGTAAATTTCTAAATATTTTTCACTAAGTGAAAAAGTAAATGCATACAAAGTTTTGTTAGATATTTCCAAATTCCTCTACAGAAAGGTTGTATTTTTCATTTTTACCAGCAATGTACAGTGCCTATATTCCTCCATCGCTTAACCAATAGAGTATATTGTCAAACTTTTAAATTCTTGCAGTTCTCATGGTTGATAAGTAGTGTTGATTTGCATTTATCTTATTAGAAGTAAAGTTGAGCATCTTTCTATATACTTAAGAACAATTTTTATATCTTTTTTCATGAATTGTTTTTTTATGTCTTTTGCCATTTTCCTATAGGATATTTTAAATGTTTTTTTCTCCATTTTTAAAATGTAGTTTTATATCAGGCATAGTAGGCCTTTATCTGCTAAACAGAGTGCAAATATTTTCTATAGTTTATGGTTTGTTCTTTGATTTAATTTATGTTGCTTTTTACCATGCAAACTTTGTTTTCATTTTCTTGTAGTAAAAGTTATCAATATTTTCTCTTATTGCACCATGAATTTTTAGTTACAAACTCATTCCTAAAGCTCTTGTTGCACAACAGAAGCTCACAAATGTTTTCTGTAGGTGGTCAGATAACAAATATTTTTGGCTTTGTGAACCATAAAGTCTATGCTATGATTACTCACCTCTGCCACTGTCGCTCAAAAGCAGTCATAGACAGTATGTGAGTAGGTGTGGCTGCATGCCAAGAATGTCAAGGACAGATATTCTATTAGAAAATGGCCTTAAGAAAAGGGTTTCTTTCCTCATTTATTTCTAATATTTCAAAAACTAATAAAATAATATGTTATTGTTTTTGTTTCATATTGTTTTGTTTTGCTATTGTTTTATATTTTGAAAGTCAAATCAGCCATGGTATTTATACTTACTTTAGGAAGACAACATTAAATTCAAACTCAGCTTAGAACAGTAATCTATTTGTTTCAGTAATTATTTTGTGAATGAGAGTTTGTTTTCTCTTTAGCTGTAGGAACTACAGATTAGAAACCATTTCTACTGCCCATGTGTCAGAGGCAAGGTAGTATGGTGGTTGCAAGGAGAGTCACTAAAGCCAGAGAAGCCCAGCCCTCCAGCCCTACTAGGTAACTTGGTGATCATAGACAAAGTAAATAACATCTCTGTGCCTCTCTTTCCCCACTTATAAAAAGTGAGTCATGATAGCATGTCAATAGATTGTCACAAACATGAGATGAATTTGGACAGTGCCTGAGAAAGAGCAGCAGCTCTGAATGAACGTCTGCTATGATCCTCACAAGATCCCAGCAGAATCCTAGGGAAAAGTATCCTGATGAGAATCCACCTTGTTGTGTGATCATTTAATGTGCCCCGGGGGGATCTGAGGCCTGTGCAAAAGGAAGTGTGCTGGTCGGGCTGTGACACAATCCCTCAGTGTAAAATGAGTAATCTTCTCCCTGGAGGAGAGGGTAAGTACTCCACCCACATCCATTCACAAAATAAACTAAATAAATGCTAGACATCTTCAGGATGGCCTGGCAGAGTTGAAGCAGTAAATTATTAAATTATTAAAAGTAAAGTGGAAAAAACTGATTATTACATTGCCAAAGTGTTGTGATGATTACCTAAGATGTGGTATCATTACCAGCATGTTTTCTGGCACTCAGTGATTTCCTCTTTGAGTCTGAGCCATATCATTTACATTATGGGTAATCTCTGTAGTCAAAAATAAATAAAAAGTACACGACTCAAGTTCTGTGGGGAGGGAGGTTCAGGCTAGGTGCCGAGTTGTGCAGCCTCTGTGGTTGCCCATATTGAGAAGGATGTGGGTGAGCACAGAACTGAAAATGGTTCTTGTGCAGGTTATCCTGGCACCTCTAACGCTGTGGATGTCAGTCCAGCAGGCACAGAAGTACACGGCCTCGTCTTCTTTCTCTAAGAAATTTATTTTCAAGATGGAAGTGGATGTGGGAGGGTTCTTACTTGCCTCAAATTTGTTGTTCTTCCCACGAACAGGAGTTGTGGAGACAACATATAGTAAATGTTCTATACTCTGACCTGGTTTCTGCCGGTACCAGTGTATGTAATCTATGCCAAAGGTGCTAGAGAACACCTTACAAGGTATAAGGGCACTCTTATCTCTTGCCATGGAAATTGATATCTTAGGTTGCTCCAGCTTTGACTGACCAAGGCCAACTGCAAGCAAAAATAAACAAATTTCCATGAACAAATGACATGTAAAGCGGTAACAAAAAGAATTTCTTTGGTCTCTCTTGTATATTAAAATGAGTGGGAGTAACTCACAAGCCCAGAGGGAGATGAAGATGACTGCTTCCAGTAGCTGCATCCTATGCACCAAGCTGGCTCCCAGGGAGAAGGTAAGAAAGTAAGGTTCCTGTTAGCAGGCCAATGGCATGAGGGCGGGGCTGGTTCTAGTTTCTCGGAAGAAGTGGTGGCTCAGATGTTCCCTGGGGTTCTTCATAATCTGCTACGGATGTGACCAGTTCTGGGGCTTCCTGTGTCCCATATGTGCTGGGGAGACTGCCTAAGAGGGTTTATGATCTGGAAGGAAAATTTGGGGATAAATATGTCCAACTGGGCTTGGGTAAGGATGGTTCTCACTCATACCCACTCAGCTGTTCCCCATGAAGTACCATGACATAGAATCCTTGCTTGAGATATATGAAGACTTACCTGCTGTGATCAACTTCTATGTCTATCTTTCTGTGATTTGCTGTTGATTCAGGACTTAGGTATGAAACCTGACCTTTATTTTTCTATAACACAGCAACACAAAAATAAGACACTGAAATACCTCATTGACATTATTTAAGATGTCATATGCACAAACACTGAAGTATTTTTATGTTTTTTAAAATTAATTGAGATGTTACCACACAGATTATGACTCGGGGCACTCAAAGTTCATTTATAATCTGGGTGCCTCCAAGAAGGGACAGGACTGCAGTTGTTGGCAGCTATAGGAGACAGAGCAATCTGTGGAACTCAGCTTCTCATTCTGGACCTTAGAGCTCTCTCATGAACATTATGCCACAGGCAGTAGTAATTTCAAAGCTATATTACGTTTAGTATGCTTTATATGTTTTTATGTTTAATAAGCTTTAAAATTAATGTAACATTTAATATCCATTGAGGAATTGTTATTTGTAAGGCATTATTCTAAATGTTTACTCATTTTATTTAACCCTCTCAACAACAGTGCTGTGAGGTAGCTGTTATGATTAGCTCTATTTGGCATTGAGGACAGTGGCAAAGAGAAGTGCATTTATCTTATTATAAGACCTGGATCTGGGAAACATGAGAAGTCAGATAAGTAACAGTTGCTCATTAAAGAAAGTCTGAATAAAATGATATAAAACAATGACCGTAAAAAGGGCCATTCTTGACTTTTACTTTGAATTTTTCTCTATGTATTTATGAATGGAAGTAGGATTGCTTGGTATTATATATAAACAAACATTTTTAAGTAGGATTTGAATATTTGGTTTTATATTCTCTTCTTTACGTTAACTTATTATTGTGAGCAATATTGAGGTCTTTCAATAATCTACGTGAGTATTATTTAATGACCAAAGATCATTAAACACCTTCCTATACCACTTAACCCTACCTGACATTTACTGAGTTACATAAGCTTCTTGCCTTGCTTTCCACATATATACCTTGCCTGAATATGTATCTTTTAGAGGTGTTAAGACGCTTCCATTATCACATTACAGGAAGGTAATGAGCAAAACACTCAAATATTAGTACCTGGCACATAATGAGTCTTCAGTGATGTTATTAAGTCTTATTAGCATTATTATCAAACAAGAGAAAATCACTTTGTTAAATATTTTTATGGTAGAACCATATTAGCTAATTTAGGAAAATATGTGAAGTTAATCAAAGTACATAAAAGAAATAAAGCCATCTAGTCCCTCAGGAATAATCATTCTTAAAGTTTTGGAGAATTCCCTTCCCTCTTTTATTATTATTCTATCAATACAAACAGCTTTATTATTAAGAGATTATTATATACTCATGAATTTTTCTTTATATCATATTGTGGATATTTTTAATTTTCTTAGTCAATCCATAAAACATTGTTTTCAAAGGCTGCATATTGTTCTATCCTTTGAATCCAATGTAAATCAGGTGTCTCTTTCCCTGTTAGTCACCATTTAGTGTGAGGAGTTTTCTTTTAAGATCTGAACACAGGAGTGTCTCACAGTCAACACCTCATCACTGCTCTTTGAGGCTCTTTGAGTACCAAATGAGACAATAATGTAGAGAAGGTAGCAGCAGTGTGTTGACAAGATTTCCTGTACATTCCTGCTGAAAAGGGCTTATGTTCTCAGATTCTGTGTGTGGTTCTCAGGTCTTTCTCTTCATCTTTGCTTCTATTAGAAGTTAATATAATCAGTAAGGTCTTATGTAGATTCGAGCTATCTACTGTGGTTCACACTGCAAGAATATGATGGTCAGGAATGACACGAACAGGATGTAATCACAAAAGGTTGCATGCATCAGAGACAGGAGGAGAAAGGCTGACAGGTTGATTCTATGTCAGCCTTTCCTGTGAATCTCCCTTCTTTCGTCCAACGGCCTTCCTGAATTGAGAACTAGAACCAGGATCCTTAAAAGAGGAGATGATGGGGATGAATATGTTGCCACGACCTTAGAAATTATCAAATAAGTAAGGGAATGTGTATGGCAGATGCAAGGTGATGTCCATATTCTTTCTTGGGGTGCCCTGGATGTACTGTGTAAGAAGAATGCATGGATTAAAAAGTAGTCATTTGTTTTACAGTTATTTCAGAGGTGGCATTACAAAACAATATAACTTTTTTATTTTATATTTTGGAAAACAAATTGTTAACTTATTGACATTTTACTTACTCTGTGAGGACTCCAGAACACTAAAATCCTGGTCACATTATTCAGTACAAAATAGTAAATTGTGTCAGCGAATGTTTCACAAAGGTTAGTTTTGTTTTCTCCATGGGTGTAGGAACAATGCATAATACTTCTTTTTATCCTCTTACGATCTAGAGGTCAGACTCTGGAGCTAGATTATGTGGGTCTAACCCTACTTTGCTTTATATCAGCTGTGTGACCTGGACAGCTTGCTGGGATACACAATATCTCACTTACCTCATGAGTCAAATGGAGTTCATAGTAATAACAGAAGAGACCTCGTATGTTACCCTGAGGGTTGAAGAAGTTCATGTGTGCAAAGAATTGAGAACACTGACAGAACTCTTTGACACAAAAAATTATTAGCTGTTCCTTCTTTTGGCTCACTCTTTTTTCATAGGCAGAACCAAGGGTTTCTCACAATAGGGTGGGCTCATCTAATGGCCCCAACGGCTCAGACCTCTGTTCTGATGACATTATGTTCGAACAGCACTGAATGTGAAGTAAGGAACTATCTTCCTTCTCCACCAGAAAAAAGATACTTGCTCCATCCCAAATTTACCTCAAGTATCTTGTTTGTTTTAGAATTGTGATATTTACATTTTCAGAGTAGTCTTATGATCCAGTTAAAAACACATGAACTTATTGTCTTTGACAAATCGCTTTAATTGTCAGAGATTTCATTTCTTTATCTGTAAAATGGGCAAATAATGGTTATATTGCTGGGGTGTGATGATAATTATATGTGGTAATGTATATGTACTGTATCTAAGAGTGCTGGTGCACAGTGATTCTTCCCTCAGCCCGAGCCATTCCAGTTAGTAGAAGTATCTGGATGTTGATATGCTTAATGGGACCTGTATCTACTCATTCCCAGACAAGATTTTAATTCATTAGGAAGTAGTGTTGAATGAAGATTTGGGAACATCATGGTCAGAAATGTTTCCTGCTCAAGTTGGGGCCTAATGTGTGAGCAAACACAAGTTGGCTTCCTGGAAAACTCAGATGTGCAGCAGAGAAAGTGAGGTGGAGACTGGCAGTCCAGGCAGGAGTTAGTTGAGTTTGCTCCTAAAGAAAGGCTGTAGTGGGGCAGAGACCCAGAAGAGGCTGCTGTTGGGCGCCTTGGCACCTCTAGTGCTGTGGGTTCCACATGTTTATGGTAAGGACTGAAGGAGACTTTTGAAAACTTTTTCTTGCCTCAAATTTGCTGTTTTTCCTTACCTAATTGAACTAGAGCTGGGATTTTAGTTGAGATGATTGACCAGATATGACATAATTTGGTTTGGTTTCTACTGATATCAGTTCTATAACTGTATTTTCAAAGTCTTCAGTGGGCATCATACAAGAGATGAACACTCTGCTGCTCTGGAAACGGACATCTTAAGTGTTTCCAACTGTAACTGCCAACTGCAAACAAAGAGTAGAAATTCCCATGAACATCTGACATAGAAACAGGAAACAATAAAAAATCTCTTTCATCTCTCATCCATGTTAAAATAATTGAGAACTCACAAGCTCAGAGGGAGAAGAATATGAGTGTTTCCAGCAGTGACATCTTGCTGTTTGCCAGGCTGTGTCACCAAGGAGAAGGAAGGAAAGTGAGGACCCTGGGTGAAGTGTCCAGGTCAGTGAGAGGATGTGAGAGGAGGAAGCAGTGGGTCAGGTGGTCTTATGTGGACTACATGACCAGACGCAGAGTTGAGCATTTGGCCATTCTGATGACCTACTCATGCTGAACTGACAGGGAGTGGGGTTCAGCACCCAAATAAGAATGTGTCTGTGGAGTGGGTGGGGGCAGTTCTGGAGTTCACTTAATTCTATTTTAAACATAACTTGCTCCCTCCTAATTTTCATGCTACAGAAACATTGTTCCAGACATGTGAGGGTGTAGTTTGTGTGGTAAAATTAAATTGGTCCCTCCTTTAATTGTTAGGATTCAAAGGTCGGGAGTATGAAACTTGGATAGTATTTTACAATTTTTAAAAAAGGCAAACCAAAGTTTCAAATTGACATTATTCACACCTCATTTTAAAAGCCATAGGCATTTTGATTTGAAATACAATGGAACTTTTTGTTTCATAACTAATCGGGATGTCACCATACAGATTATAACTCAGAGAAATGAAATTTCACTTATAATCTGGGTGCCCCTCAAGAGGTGATGAAACTGAAATTGCTAGAAGGAATATCAGAGCAATCTACTTGCCCTGGACCTTGCCCTGGACCTTGACACAGTCTCATGAACACAATGTCACAGAGATTACATGTAATTAATGTCCATTTTTACATGTAATAATAAGCCTTTAAAATTAATGCTATATCTAATATCTATTGAGAATTTGCTAGCACTGTTCTAAAGATTTTCTTGTATTATTTCACTTATACAATACATATCAATCTTGAGAGTTAGTGGTATTGTTATCTCCC